AAGTTGCCAAGAATACACCACGGAGAAAGGATAGTCTCTTTAATAAATGGCATTGGGGAAGACTGGACCACCACAGGCAAAAGAATGAAATTGGATCCTTATCTTAAACTGTACATAAAAATTCAAAATGGATAAAAACATAAATATAAGACCTAAAACCATAAAATTCTGAAAACATAAAGGAAAAGTTTCTTGACACTGGTCTTGGCAATCACTTCTTGGATTAGACATCAAAAGTATAGGCAACAAAAGCAAATATAGACAATCAACAAAATAAAAAGACAATCTATGAATTGGGAGAAATTATTTCCAAATCTTATATCTGACAGTTAATAATATCCAGATATATAGGAAACTCCTGCAACTCAATACCAAAAAAAATAATAATAATAATCTTATATAAAAATTGGCAAAGGAACTGAATAGACATTTCTCCAAAGACATACTAATGACCAACAGGTATATAAAAAGGTGCTACACATCACCAATCATCAGGGAAATCCAAGTCGAACCAAAATAAGATATCACCTCATACCAGTTAGGATGGCAATTATATAAGAACAAACACAAACAAAAAATAACAAGTGTTCATGAAGATGTGGAGAAATGGGAACTTGAACACTGTTGGTGGAAACGTAAATTGGTACAGCCACTATGGAAAATAGTATGGAGGTCCCTCAAAAAATTAAAAATAGAACTACCATAGGATCCAGCAATCTCACCTCTGGGTATATATCCAAAGGAACTGAAATCAGGATCTTAAAGAGGTATCTGCACTCTCATGTTCACTGCAGCATCATCCACAAAGCCAAGACACAAAAGCAACCTAAGTGTCCATCTACGTACAAACAGATGAAGAAAATGTGGCATATACATACCATGGAATATTATTCAGTCTTTGAAAAGAATGGTACATTGAAGTACTCTGCTTACATCAGCGCCATTAACATTCATTGCCCAAAGCAAAGTGACCTGGTCAAGCTCAAAGTCAAAGGACATATACTCTATCCACCAAGAAGCCATGGCAAAAGACTGGGTACACAGAGGTGAAGAAATGAGAACAATCAAATCTGCTACAGGTTGTATGACCTCCTCTGTCTGCTCCTCTTACACATGACTCTCTAGAATGCAAGCTCCAATGCAAGATTTTTAGCTCTCTCCACCACAGTATTTCCAGTATGCAGATTGTCTCTTTTGTTCGCTGCTCTCTTCCTAGTGTTTAAAACAATGCCTGGTACACAGCAGAAAATAAACATACATGACTGGCTGCCCCCAAACAGGGTCCTCAGTCTTGCAAGTTACATGATCTTTAGAGTCTAATGCTCCTGAATCAATGTTATTTCCTCAGTTTGGATTAGGAATCAATCCTTTGTTTACCCATACACTGTAAGCAGAGCAAGAATGTAGGTAGGTCAGGGACAATTCTCAGAGAAGGGGGCAAGGATAAGCAGATATCCAGATGTCTATTCCACATAATATATAAGACCCTTCAGGATCTGGTCCATGTCTACCCACAGGATGCAAATATAGTTATTAAAAGGTCATGCTTTAGGGTCAGGCAGGACAGGGTTCAAACCCCATGTCAGCTATTTACTGTCCACGTTAACTTTGGCCACGCTACTTAATGGCTCTGAATCTTCATTTTCCCATCTGTAAAATGGTAACAATTACCTTTTAAGACTATTGTAGAAGTAAATAAGATCTTCACTGAGTTCCTGGCACTCAGTAAACCTTCAATAAATGGTGGCCATTTCTACCAGGCATGTAAGTCTGGTGTCTACTACACCATTCTGTGTCCTTAGATAAACTATCTCACATTCATTTTAATTTCAACTTTAGTTGACTGTAAGAGGGGTGCATACTTAGCCCAAAGCAGGCAATACACAGGCCAGTCAGTGACCCACAACAGCCTAATAAATAGATCCTCTCTCTTCTGGGTATGGTTTCTGTGGCATGGCCCTTTCCCAGAATTTCATTTCTTGCCAGGGCCCTGAGGCATGGAAAATTAAGACTAAAATGAGAATAACCTCCTTCATGATGCTGCTAAATTATGTAAGTCTTGCAGACATAGACTTCCAAGGAAAATACAGCTGTTAAAAAAGAACACTCACATGCACACAATAATCATAGTAGAAGGACTAGGCTAATATTCCAAACTCTCTGGATCTGAAAACTAACTAGAAACCATGGAGGCTCTTTAGCTTTTATACTACAGATGTTCCTTGGGTTGCTCAAAATTGGGTTTAAGCAAATCTCATTTTATGCATATTAACCTAAGGTACATCATAGTATTTTAGCAATGCAGACTTCACATTCTATACAGAGACACAGCCGTCAGGCTGATGAATAAAAATTATGATGTGATAATGGAAGGCTGGAAGCATTCAACAAAAGACATCCTACTTCCAGTCTTAACTGGTTTCCTTTGGTTGTGCTTTAGGTCTGGCTTGGCCTTCAGTATCACATTGGGACAGGTTCTTGTAGGCTTTGTTAGCTGAATGAATAAGTACTAGACATTGGTGACCCCTAGTAATTTGTCCATCTCTAAAATTTTATGGTTCTGCTTCTTTCCCTTAGTCTCCTCTACCCATAAAATACACCATTAAAGATCACCAATAAGAACTTTTCTTATTAAAAGTATCCCACTATGGTGCCAAAACATGTATGACATCAGTTCCTATCTGCTTAGTACTCACTAACATTTCTCATGACAGTCTCCTTGTTGAGTGTCAGCTAAGACAGTGAAGTTAATATAACTTTTATATAACTAGTTTTATACTAATGGAAATGTTTTCTATCAAGTATTGGTATTGTTTTCAACTGTGTTAAATTCAATAGTATTTAATGCTAATACAATAGTTTGTGAGTTTTATTTAGACATAAAGGAATAAGCAACATTCATAATTAAATTCAGGCTTAAAATTGTATGATTTACTTGCTTTTGAAAAACATTAACAAGAAACCTCAAACATACATACAAAAATAGAGAGAATAGTATAAAGGATCCCCACATAATCATCATCCAGCTTCATCAATTCCAATTCAAGTACGATCTTGTTTGATCTACTCCCTTAACCCACTATTTTCCCCTCACCCCAGACTATTCTGAAGCAAATCCAAAACATCCTATCATTTCACTTATATACATGACTTTTGAGTAATCGTTCTTGGATTAGATCTCACACTTGCAATAAAAAGAAAAATACTGGTATGGTCTAATTCGAGAGAGGTATATACCTATTTTCTCTTTCTTAAAAGTTCTGCCAAGAGCAGAGAGGAGATGGAGTTGTAAAGTAGTAAAAGAGAACATATGTTTAAGTCGAACACAAAGTTCAGTTCTGAATAATAAAGGACCTATTTCTTATAAAAATAAACTAGTGGTGAGTTTTTTAAAAATACCAGTTAAAACAAGCAATTTCATCTATAACCCCAATATTCCTCTTCTTCAATTTACTCAAATTCATAGTTAACCCTCAGGCACGGCATTATTGTAGCCCAGTTCTACAGAATACAAATTGGTTCAACATTTTCATGCATTTAAGACTTTTTGAACCCTAAACAGAGGCTGTTTCTTAATGTCTATGGTTGGTTTCTACATGCGTGTCATCAAAAAAAGTACAAATGCTGAGAGGTGGCTTTTAAACTTTTTCCCACTTACATGCCGAAGTTATTCAGGGTAACTAAAAAGCTAAGGCAATGGGAAATGTTAAAAATAGAGTGGAAAAAAGCCTTTGATTTAGAGAGTTGGATCAGCCAAGAAAACAATTTAGCTATAGCCCATTAACTGCAGGGGATATCTTTAAAAAGGGGGCGGGCAGAGGAAAACATGTCTTCTGTATTCTGTCTGAAGTGGTTTAGATACTTTAAAAATCAAATTCAAATTTAATCAGAAATAGAATAACACATTTAACAAATGCAAACTCAAGTTCCTCTTGTCATTTCTTCCCTCCTCTGCAAAAAAAGTATAGGGAAAAAAATGAGTTTCGATTTTATGTGTACAAAAAATTCTAAATTTATTTATGCTTGTGGAGAAAGCACCATTTAAAAATATCACCATAACTGATACAAGTACTACATATTTTCTGATGAATTATTCTGATCATGTAGCATTAAAAGTGTTTTAACATTGCTCGTGCTTTATAAAAATATTTTTAATATAATTATTAAATTATATATAAACACATATAATATGTATCCTGTAAAAGATATCAAATTGTTAAATAATATATAATTATTTTTAATAGATTTAGGAAGTTTTCAAATATATCAAAATAGTATGAAAATATGTACTACCTCATAATGTTATAATAACAAGAAGTAACAAGTAATCAGGTTCAAGGCATAAATGAGAAGCAGATAATAGGACATTCCTAGCCTTCTCATGATGTATCCTAATTTTCTCCCTCTGTAATTTACCTGCTCTGACTGGCACTTTTTCCATCAGATACTCAAGGTCCTTGTGTTTCCCCTCTTAAAAATGTGCTCTTGGGAAAACAAAATATGAAATTCATATGCACTGACCAATAACTTAGCGTATTATTCTTATGGGATTATTTGCATCTTAAACTTCAAGAGATAACAAGAGTGGAATTTTTAGCATCTGCTTGTAGGTAGGAGTAATTTGATCGGTACCTTTGAAAGTCTCATGTTAAATACAGTCAACCTATGGATAAGATCATCACTGAAGATATACAAATATACATAAAGTAAACCTACCAGTTAGAGTTTAAACAGTAAGATTTTAACTTTATAGTTCAATTATTTTCAGCAGGGACACTTTCGATGATAAACTACCTCCAAACTAAAAATTATGTATCTCTTACTAAAAACAGTATCCCTGTGTTTTATCAGCAAAAGTCACTTAAGGAAAGAATATGGGAACGGGCTGTACCAGAAGAGAGGTTTTAAAAGCTGGTTTTGTTACTCATAACTGATATTTTCTTAAAAACTATTAAAATTTCTACTTCAATAACTGAAATAATGCAAACTGAATGCTTCCATAAGTGTACTTGGTTGATTTTCTGAATTTATTTCATTAGGAAGCACTATAAAGAATGATAAAAATATGAAAGGGAAATCAGATACAAACAGTTTATAAACAAACAGAAGTTATAAAACTACCTCAGTCTTAATTTTAAAAATCTGAATTCACTCAAGCAAAATCATTTACTAAAATACAACTGCTGGAATTATACTGAAAATAGAAAATTTGGCCAACATGCTTTCATCAAATTGTTAGTGGTTCTATCTTCATACAAACATTGAAAAAAACTGAACTGTAACAAAGCTACAATAACTGCTTTTGAGTTACTGACAATCTGTGGAGTCAACACAATTAACCATCACAAAATGGCTAAGATATGTTTGCATTGTGGCAAACACTATGGATTGGCTGTCCAAAAGCCATTCACATCTCTCTTCTCTCGTTTTTATCTCCTATAAAGGCTAGAAAGAAAAAAGTATAGTACTCTATTTCAAATAACAGCCAGGGAGGGCTGTCCTTCCCAATAAAAAGGTAAAGACTTACTAGGAGAAAGCCCCTTTGCCTCTTTCTCCTTTTTCCTCCCTGAATGTGGATTAAAAGACCAGAGATATTACAGTTCCCTTAACCACAAGACAATAAACATAAACACAAAGGTCTACATGGTAGACCATGTGGAAGTGAAAGGAGCCAGGGTCCCTACGCCACCTTACCAGGTCTGGACCGCCTACCTCTGGGCTTTTTATTGCATAAGACACATAAAAGCTATCAAATTAAGCTATTATAGTAAGGTTTTCCATTAGTGCAGCTAGTATGCTTATAGTGGATACAAATATAAAATTCTCACGTAAAAATCAAATTAAGAGTTATGAAAAATATCCTCACCAACACTTCAAATATTTTAAAGAGAACCTTAATAATAAGCTTATATTTTTGTTTTCCTTACTTGAAGACAACAAATACCACAAAAACAATACAAAAAAAAGAAAAAGGACGGGTATGTGGTAGTGGTGAAACAACTGATTCCAAAGACAAACAAAAGTGAGATAAGGCTGGGGGAGGTAGAAGGGCACGACTATATCACCGTACAAGTATGCTCTTATGTAGACTTTAACTAATATTTCTTATATGTCAACTGTAACTGTCAGTAAAAAAAAAAAAAAGAAAAAAAAAAGTTTATTTTTTCGGCAGAGGAAATTACAATTCACTTTTTAAGTCTGAACCTTTAAACTTGGGAAGCTTTCTTCCAGGTTACGAGCAAGGGTCTTATCAACTTCATGTAGGATTCTGAGAAAGTCTTCTACCTGTGAGTCAAACCAAATAAACATTAAGTAGAGAAAAAGGTAAAGTATTGATTGCTGACTATAAAAATGTTCTACCTGTAGTTTCTAAATAGTCCAACAGAAAAGAAATATTGACAGATCCCCATATGACTAATAACAGTACTTCCTGGACAGTCCTCTGAAACACCGAGGAAGTGACTAGCCCTTACCATTTTGTTTTACTCTTAAACTAGTATTTATCCTCCCACTGATTCCCCTTTAAGGTCCATTAATGAAATTTTATTACCATCTTCCTTGCTGACATGACCTTATTTTGAAACTGCTTTTAATGATAGCAAATATGATATAATATGAAGAACCATAAAAACCTACTGACTATACTTATGAAGAATCTTACTTTTGATTAATATATATGCTATATACTTCATAACAGAAAGGGATACTATAAATTCAGTGCTGGTTCCTTTCTCTTAAAATTTGAACTGTTCCTCAGGCTAGTCCCATGAATTATCCAGCAGTCATCTATCTGGCAAAGGCATTAAGTGTGTGAATTGTATGCACTATCTTTTTTGACAATGGCCTCAAAGATCAAGCACTTACTCTAATACATTTTATTTTGTAATCCTCTTAAAACTCAGCCACCTATACATTTACTCATACTCACCACAGGGCTATAGAAAGGAAGAAGATTATGAAATGCACAGCAACATTTCTGCTTGTTTAACTGGCCCTCCTTTAGTCCTTTAGCCACAATGTCCTAAAACAAAACAAAACAAAAAGATCTAACATTGAGAAAGGAAAAGTTTTAAAGCTATGTTTAGTGAATTGTTATATTTAGAATATAACAATTCCTTAGTGATCCTACAGGTATTTCTAACATCCCAACTGAACCCAGGATCATTCCTACTTGTATAACCCAAATATGTGCTCCACTGCAGTCCTTATTCTAGTGAAGGGGACCATCACCCACTCACCCTCCTGCACAAACCAAAAAATTGCCAAGACTATTCCTCCTCCTCGGCTGCTGTGACCAACCACCACCAACCACAAGTGTTTAATTCTATTCTTCTAATCTCATCCCACCCCTCCCCTTCGTTCACACTTCCACCGTTTAGGTTCTCACTATGTTTCAGATTATTCTTGAAGATTACCAGCCACAAAAGCCTGTTGATTAGTCAGTCCCCTGGCCTCCAGCCTCAGCTCTCTCTAACCTTCTCTCTCTTGCTTTTGGAGTAATCTTTCTAGACAGATCATGCCACTTGATACTTAAAAAAAAAATCTTTAGTAACTTCTCAGTTTCCTCAAGATTAAGTCCAAATTCCATTAAGTATGGTATATAAAAATTTTCACGTCACCACTCTGCTTTATTCTCAGCCTACCTTCCTCCTATATTCCTCTCACTTAACAGTCAAGAAAAATCTATGTCCCTCCCTCCAAAAAAACATAAGCAACAGCAAACAATGGGAAAAATACTTGTCATGAATATGCAAGATATACTATTACCCAAGGAGTTCCACTCAAATAATCAAAATGGATAACTTTATAAAGCAGGAAACACAAACAATATACAAATATATGGAAAGATGTTCAAACTAATAATAAAAATGTAAATCAAAATAAGGCACAAATTAATCACCTATGGAATTTTACTTGATATAAAATTATAATACCTAATAATAAGGATCAAGTAAAATCAACATTTTCACATGTCAAAAGCACTTTGGCAATATGTAGCCATTATGCCACAGTCATCTTCACATTTATAATGTCTAAGCTAGTAATCTAACTTCCAAAAGCCTACGCAAAGGTACTAATCCCAAACTGGAAAAGGAAAGTGGGACAATTCACCAAAAAAACAAACCACGAGAGTAACAGAAATTTGTTTTAAGGAATATTCTTTTTGGAAAACAGTCAATGAATATGAATATATTCTTCATAGTTATAGTCATATATATTTTTTTCTAAAATATATGAATAGAAAGGTTATACTCAAAAGAAAAATATACTAACAATCCCAAACATATTCAAGGTGAATATTTCTAAAAATAAGTTTACAATAAATTTTAAAAACTGAATTTTTGACAAATTGGGTATTAAAGTGGCTCCCAATGAAGTCTTTCAGTGAAATTATCTAAAGTAAGGAGAAGTGCTTATAATATGTTAAAAGAAACGCAGTCTATAAAAATTTTATCTACTGCATTATGTGAAAAACATATATATAAATATACCAAACCACATCAGTTGTTGATTTAAGACTATAACCTTAGAGTGATAAGTTTTTTCTTTCTCTATTTTCCCAATTTTAATATAGTTATACTACTTTTATACGCACAAAATAACAACAGTAATAATAAAGTTGGGAGCATCAAACAATTTATGTTTTCTGTAGCTGAAACACTATTAATACTTCTTTCTTACCTTTGTTAATACTTGAAAAATATTAGAAAGAAATTCACACGAAATATCCTTTAAGATTTTTAAGTGGAAATCATCTTGGGTTAAATCAGACTTTTTAGTTTCTTCTTCATTCGACTCTGCTGAGTTCTCTGGTTTCTTCTGACATTGTTCCACATTTTGTAAGACACGAATCAGGCTATCAATTAGAGGAAGATCTACTGTACAATCAAGAGGTATGGAATTAGCCAGTTAAATTTCGTTATTCATTCATGATTCATTCATTCATACTGAACGCCTACTAGAGGTAGGCATGATATTTTAGGTACTAATAGTGAACAAAATCATTAAGGCTTCAACTTTCGAGAGACATTTTTATACTCTCAAACAAGCAAATGAATAAAATAGATCATTTCAGATTTTGATATGTTCTGTGAAGAAAATTAAAGGGGAATATAATAAAGTAGCTGGCAGAGGAGGCTCTCTGAAGAGGTGACACTGAGTTGAGGATTAAAGAATAAAAAGAATCAATGTAAAGAATCCAGGAAAACATTTCAGGCAGAGGGAACAAGTGCAAAAGCCCCAAACAAAAAATGTCCTCGGAGGTCTGAAACACAAAAAGGCGGCTAGTGAACAAGGAAGGTACAAGATGAGTTTGGAAAGTTGGAGAAGAACTCTATCAAGTAGGGCCTTGGAGGCCACAGAAAAGGATTTGAATTTTAAACTTTGACTTTCATAAAACTCTTAACCAAAACTTTTAAGTTTTGTTTTACTAAGTTTAAAAAACGTATGATTTCTTAAAAGACAGAACAATCATTTTAATTAGCCTATAATAAAAACTGTACATAAAACCAATGCTCAGACGCAAAATGTATTTTATCGCATGAACATGCTAAAATGTATTTCACTCTAAATTAACCAGTGATTTTAACTCTACGATTTCTGCTTAATAATTGCAAATCCAGGGAAAAAGTTAGCTATCGCACAGAATCAAGTATAATGGCTTCAAAAAAAATTCTAACATTTCCAAACATGTCATTTCTAATACATGGTAATGGCATTTTAAAAAAATTAGCAACCAGGAAAATCTTATCCTTTATTTCTTCACTCAATGTCACCTATTAAGAGCACCTCCCTTACCGGGCTGCTTTATTATATTCCCCTTTGATTTACTCCCACTTTCTTACTTGTGTTATCACCAACTCTTGACTCTTTAACACCCAAATCTTTACATCCATGACTTCCCTGTAGGTCACTGCAATCTATATACTATACCAGCCTCTCCTATCTCTTTCTCAGTCATAACTTTGCAAAGCCCCTATTCAAGGCTTAGGGCAGGATGAGGGGTTGGGTGCTAATCAGTGGCTTAAAGGAGCATCTTTATACTTTCTCATCCAATCATAAAAATCATACATAAAAGTTTGGGGGAGGACGTGAGAAAAGGATAAAGAACACCTAGTCCCATAACATCAATTTATAATGAATTTCTATATATCAAATAACATGACATCAACACTCATTAAGCAAACTACAAATGATAAAAAGAAAAAAGACAAACATGTTAGTAAGAGACATTACTTTTCCTCTCACTCCATATCAAATCAAGTCAAAAAAAATAACCAAGGTTACAGAAGACCTCAGCTCTAGACTCATAAAGTGCCTGCTCAACACCTCCGTTTGGATATCTAGAAGACATCTCAAATTCAATGTGTATCTCAGGAAATGCAACTCTTTTGGACAAAAATGCCAGACTTCTTTCCTGACCCTCCCATCCTGTCAGCAAATCCTGTTGACACTACCTAAAAATGATCAGAATCTATTTTTTCCCACCACCTCTAGTCACCGCCTTCATCCAAGTTATATTATCTCTTGCCTCAAGTTCACAACAGCCCCCTAACTAGTCTCCCTTTTGAACACTTGCTCTGCTACGTTTCTTACAAACATGGCTGCCAGAGGAAGCCTGTTAAAGTCAGCTCATGTCTATCCATCCTCTGCTTATAACTCTCCACAACTCCCTATCTCATTCAGAATAAAAGGCAAAATCGGTCCCTCCACACTCTAGTCCATTACCTCTTTTGGCCCCCTATACTATTTCTCTCTCCTGTGCTAACTGCACCCCAGCCATACGAGGTCTCACTGATCTTTCTTAAATATACGAGGTATACTTCTAGTTCAAGGTTTTTATACTTGCTGTTCCCTCTGTCTAGAATGCTTTTCTCCCCAAGTATTCACATGACTCACTCCATTATTTCCTTCAGGTCTGTACTCGATGTCAACTTCTCAAATGAGGTAACTTATCCATAAATGCAAAAAGATTCTTAAAACATTCAACATTTATTTTTCATTAAAAGTTCTTAATAGGAATAGATGAATATCTCCTAAAGTGGTAAAACGTAAAACATAAATTGCTTGAAATCCATCATCCACTGTGCCCCAAACAGAATTTCTAGAAACAGTCCCAAGAAAGTCAGGAAGAAGGTAAGTTTTTCCATCACCATCATTATTTAACACTAGAGGTACAAGGCAACCCATTAGATAAGAAGAAATCAGGTAGAAAAGTAATAAAACATACCTAACTTAAAGCCTAAGATTCCCACTCAACAACTATTAAATACAGTAAGAGAATTCAGAAAGGTTACTGGTTGTAAAATTAAATACACAGAAATCAATAGCCTTCATATATTAAAACAACAATAATCAAGCACTACGGGTACTGATACATGACAACAATGGAACTGAATGAAATGTACAGAGATATTTAAAACATAGTTATCACGAAATTTCAAATCAATGTAGGTTAAACTGGTTTATCTATTAACCGATGTTGAGACAACTGGGTACCATCTGGAAAAAAGCTGAAACCATACCTCACTTGTAACGTCTGAATAAATTCTAGATGGATCATGGATTTAATTGTAATCATAAAAAATCATTCTGTGAAAGCATACTTATTAACATAGAAAAATATTCATTTTATATTTCTAAATGAAAAAAAAAGGATTTAAAACTATGTATGTTGAGTATCTAACAATTATCTCTAGACAGTAGGAATACAAGCACTATGTTTCCTTTTATAAATTTTACACATATTTTTGTGTTGAGAAAATGACTTTTTTTTATAATCAGGAGAATAAAAGCACTAAAATAAAAATGGAAGAAACCAAATGAACAATCAACAAAAACCTGGGCTTTAAAATCTGATAGACTAGAATTTAATTCTGTGAACTAAAATGATACTTGCCATTTTCTATCTTTAGATACTCCTGTTCTGATTGTGAAGCATAGATAGCAGACAACACTGAGAAAATGGAGGCTAGCACTGTTTTCTGTTCTTGAAGTATAATGGGTGGATCATCAGGCTGGCAGAATTCATGGCAGACCAAGTCAAAAAGTAAATTCCAAGTGTCTTTTCCAGTATCAGAACACTGTACTTAATAAAGATGATAAAGAAAGTAGTAATTTAAAAAGAGCAAACAATTAAATGAATAACTTTAGTCCTTTCTCATATAACATCTTACCAATAGCTTGAATTCCATCATCCACTGTGGTAAGCAGCTGTAAGATATGCATGTAAGCATCAAGCCCTTCCAGATTTTCAGAACTAAATACAAAAAGCAAAAGCACTGAATTAACAACTTTACTATCTATGGGATTACAATCATTTATTCATTCAACAAATATTCATCATTCTATTCTAGCCACTGCCCTAAACATTGAGAATAAAACGGGGAACAGGACAAAGTCTCTGTGCTCATCAGTGTTTACATTAAATAGGAAAATCAGTCAAAAAACAAATATTCTGTAATATAATCAATACACAAGACAAGAAGTAAAAATTCTTTTTCACCTTGTCCCACAAAACCAATAATGTAGAACCCTGCTAGGTGATACTTCTTCATTTCGGTTTATTCTAATAATCAGGATAAAAATTGGCTGAGACTTTTATAGAATGAATGTAAGGTCCACTGCACCAAGCACCGACAACAATAAAGTTCTTAAAACTTCACAGGATCATCCTAGCTTCCTAGATAATATTAAAACTATGTAAGAATAATTTTTGTAATCAACAGTTTGGATTCCTAGAGACTCACAATCTTAGTTCTTCAAACAATTAAGTGAAGACAATGAACAATTAAAAGACTGTTCAGCAAATATTTATTTAGTACCTACTGTTTTCAGGCACTATGTTAGGGGCTGAGAAACAGAGGTATAAAACATTGTCTCTACCTTCATGAAGTTTATAGTCTAAAAGGAAAGCAGATAATTAAAGTGGTAATAACAAAGTGATGTGAATGTAAGCCAGAGGAAGTCCAAGGTGCTAGAAAACCACACAGCAAGCATACTTAATTTAGTTTAGAGAGTCAGGAAAGGTATCTCAAGAGAAATGATGTTTACACAGAAACTTGAAGGGGCAAAGAAATGTTTGACATAGACAAGACAGTGTGAGCAAAGGCTGAAATTAACAGCTTGACTCAGCTGAAGAAATGAAAGAAATTTCATGTGGCTGAAATTTCATGTAGGGCCTTATAAGCCATGTTTTTAAAAATCTGAACCTCATCCTAAGGAAAGCAAGTGAAGAGTCTGAAGCATGAAAATTGGATTATTAGTGTGTGCTTTGGAAAGACCACTCTACAATCTTGGCTTGGAAGGAGCAAGCCTTGAGGCAGGGAACTTAGGTAAAAGAACGTTACAGTTGTCCAGGTAAGAGATAGTGGCCTGGTGATGGCCTGGAAGGGATCCCAGAAAGTCAGGAACAAGGCTTGGAGGCTGACTGGCCATGGGAAAAGAGTGGAATGGAGAAGAGTCAGTAATGGCTTCCACGTTTCTTCCCTATTACCCAAATGGAATAATGTTTACTGACATTGGGAATACTGAAGCAGGTTTAGGGAGATGATGATGAGTTTAATTCTCATTTGGATAAAGGACATAAAATTAATAGGCTTTAATCTGGGTTATTAAGCAGATCAATTAATTTTCTAATAACTAGCAATAAACAGCTTCGGCAACCTACAAGACTTAGTAATCAACCTTGAGAAGACATCTGAGTCCAAAAGTCAGTCATTTATCCAAGACTGGCATATACTCACAAGAAGTAAAAAAACAAATGATGTCTGACATTAATTGAAGAAGTTGCTAAATGTCCAATGGAAAAGAAAGCATAAGAAAACCTTTCTACTTAATTTATATTACACATAATTGCACAAGAGTTTAAGACAGTAGCCACAATTAATGCTGAACCAAAGCCTATTGCTAAGTAATATTAGGGAAGGTACTTTGTAACCATTATGATTTTTGCACAAATGAGATATATTATCACCACAAATAGTAGTAGTGAATAAAACCTAACAAAGATGGGCTGTGTGCTATTCGTCCTGCCCAAAGGAAACTAAGATGACTTACATCGAAGGATACTTCTAGCAACTGGACATTTTGAGCAAAAGAGCTCACCTACCGTACTTGTTTGGCAGCTTCAAGTACACAGGGCACAATTCTAAACACTTGCTGCTCTTCGGACTCTTCCTGGGGTTGGTCCAAAGGCTGAACAGCTCCATTTCCAATCCACTCCAACATTAGCTTCTCATCCAAATCAAAGAGCTTGTCCACAACCTCCCCCACCTTCACCAGCAAGTCAACTGCAGAGAATAAAACATTGAAATGAGAAACAAAATTTTAAAAGCAATAATGTTAATTAAAATTCCTAAATCTATTCCAAGAAAACCAGGTCTTGCCAAAGCATTACTTATTCCACAAGTAATATGTTTACTTCCTTTGTTTAACTTTGCTTGTCTCCCTTCATTTTTAAATGAGGGATTTATCAGTATCCTAGGAGTTTAAGAAGAAATTTTATATCTTAGATTGAAATACTCTCTCACCTTATACTTAGCCTTTAAGTGACCTCCTGAAATACTTATCTTGTTTCCTAACAATTAAACATAATCAATTTTTTTTCCTATAATACATGGTGACTTACCATTTGTTGAACTTGACATGATGAAGCAAATGCTATCGTAAATAGCTGGGTGTTCCCGGATTCTTTCCACCCAGACATTGGCCACTTCTGTCTGGGAAATGCAAGTAAGCAACAACCTACATGATAAATGTGAGCTTAATATCTATCTTTCAAAAACAGTAAAGGAAATTCAGGAATGAAGAATTAACTATTTTCCTAGACTCCCTTATGGGTGAGTATATAGAATCCATAAAAAGAGCAAAGCATACCTGCTTGTTTCCAGCAGAGTTGGAGGGTCTGAATCATACAAACAGTGCAATAATACCTGGCTGCAAAAATAAAATAGTTAAACCAATATACCTCACTTCTCTCATTTCAAATATCAAAAGTTTTTATTTTTAAAAATATTTTAATTGTGAAATATAGCATACATAAACATAAAAGCCGATAAGATCCAAATCTATACTTAATAACTATAAAGCAAACACGTTTTAAAGAAACACCAACAGTGCTGTCTCTCTATAGCCCCTGAGTGTCCCTTCCAAATCACAATTCTTTCCCACCTAGAAATGACTACTACCTTGACTTTTCTAGAAATCATTTCTTAGCTTTACTCTATAGTTTATTTAATATATATTTGGTTTTGAACTCTATATGAGAGAAACTGTATTGAATGTATTCCTTTGAACTTTAGTTCTTTTGCTCACTACCATGTCTTTAAGATCTACCCATATTGTTCCCATAGCTGTTGTTCTTTGATTCACTGCTGCAGAACATTCCATTGTATGAATATGAGATCATCTATTTTCCAGCCTACTATTGACAGACACTTGGGTTGATTCCAATTTTGAGCTATTTCAAGCAATGCTCTGTTCCTGTAATACTTTTTGTATGAGTATCCTGACATACGTGTACACAGTTTCTCTAATCATACATCTATGAGTGGCATCACTGGGTCACAGCAAATGCATACCTTCCAACCTGACTACACAATGCCCAACTGTTCCAAAGTGGTTGAACAAATTTATATACCATCAGCAATGTAAATTCTTCCATTATAACTTTAAGATAAGCATTTAACTTATAAAACTTGTTACATTATTCAGTCTCAGCTTTTTGACAGAGACCACTAGAGTCACTTACTCCATGAATGAGTCACTTACTCCATGAATGATTAGAAATCCTGAGTTACTTACTCCATGAATGATTAGAAATGATTGAGAATACCTTTAACTAGGATTTTAAAGTCTCTCCACATCTAGAAGAGCCAATCATCTCTATTTTAACAACCCACGCACTTGAATCCTGTGATTAAACCCTACAGCCCTAGCCGACAATAACCACCCAGAACAGTTTTCCTAAATTATTGTAGGCACAAATTTCTTTGAGATTCTGATTAACAGCCAGGAACTGACTGTCATATGAATAAACATTCATGTAACAGTCAGTTATATGACTATGATATTAATAAAATCACAAAATTTAGCATTTAATTCCAGGGTGTTCTCAAACTTCTTAAAGTAACCATCAGCGTTTCCACCATTAAAAAACCTTCCACCCAAAACTTTCTTGCACAGAGAAGAGAACTAGCCTCCAAGAAAAGTATGAAAGTCTTTGAATCGCAGAGGCAATCTTGTACCTTCCAGTCTGTTGGCAAGTCCCTGATCTAAGTCAGAGTTCTCAGGGTGACACTGGTCGACAAGTCTAATTTTTCTAGACTGAGCCCTCAGATTCCCTAAGCCTAAACTGTTACACTCTGGTTAGGTGCCCTATCTCAAAAACAAGTCTAGTTTTTCCAGACCGAGCCCTCAGATTCCCTAAGCCTAAACTGTTAGACTCTGGTTAGGTGCACTATCTTTGCTCCACTGGTTCTTATCCTATCTGGCTTCCCATCTGCTGACAATTTAGGTTCCTCTGCTACAGATAAAGAAAACAGGCTTAAATCCTGAATCACGTCCATAAATAGTGTGGAAGCCCTTAGCTACCATCAATATATAATAAAGTTCTTGGAGAGTGCTCAACAGGAGAAAGAAAGTGCTACATTTCATAATATTTTCCTATCTCTACTATGTATTAGGATTTCCTTAGGAATATAAAACATAAATCTTTCTTTTAAAGACATAATTATTATATAGTAAAACTTACCCAAGATTTTTATCACTGCTGATGGACACACATATCTCCTGGAAACAGGCCATATTACCTAAAATTCCCACACAAATTTCCTGCCAAATCAAATTTCACAGGTCACAATGGCTCCAAGATAAAAGACATATAAGAATAAACACTTGAATTTTCTCTGAGCCTTAGAACAGGAAACAGCATAGAGAAGTATACTGCCTGCACCCTAATTATTTGATAAGTTCACAGTATTTGGGAAGGGATGAAAGACACGAGAAAAAGAAAGATCAAAGGCAGGCAGGGGTTATAGAAGAAACATCTTATGGAATGGATGAACTGAGCCTTAAATGATAGTTAGGATTTAGATATGCAAATAAGAAAGACATTCAAACAAGGGGGAAAGTATCAGGAATGACAAAAAGGAAATAATGTACATGGTTAATTCAGTGAACAATAAAGAAAGTAGCCTGGCTGTTGCACAAAGTGAGAGACTACCATGAGATAAATGCAGCAGGTAAAAAGGATCAGGATTAAGGGCCCTCGAGGCCATGTTGAAGAGTTTAGATTTAATTTAGGAGGATATATGGAGCAATGAAGGTCCTCAAGGAAGGGAGTAACATGCTGCAATGATATTTTAGGAAGATTATTCTGGCAGCAAAATGCATATTGCATGATAGTGAAAAAACTTTAAAAAAAGTAAATAACCTCAATAAAAACAGCTAAAGTTTATTTAGCACTCTCTATGCCCAGGCACTACTCTAAGCACTTTCCATGTATCGTTTCATATAATTTATGAGGTAGATATTGTTATTATCTCCATTTTTTAGATGAGGCAACTGAAGCACAGAGAAGTTAAGCAACTTGCCCAAGATCTCCAACTAGGCAACAGCGGAGCTCCAGAGCATGAGCATTTAACTACTGTACCATACCACATCTCTGCAATCAGATGCAAAAACATGAGGGTGCTGCTGACAGGCATGGAAAGGGATGAAGTGAGTTAAGAGTCAAGGTGAAAGCAAAATAATCTGATGTAGGGCAAAGGGAGAAAGGAGTGGAACATGACTCCTAGGTTTCAAGTTGCTTCATTTCTCCAGTCGGAGACACTGGTCCCATTGACAGGAAAATTGGGAAAGAAAGTGGAAGAAAGACTATAATGAGTTCAGTTAGGGTGGTGTTTCCAAACTTGCTGGAATATAAGAATTATTCGTGGAGCATATTAAAAATACAGATTTGCAAAGCCCATCTCAGAACTACTTAATCAGAATCTCCAGGGCAGAGCCTGAGAAGCTGCTGATTACTAAGCACACCATATGACTTTTGACCAGATAAGTATGATAATCACTGAGTTAGGATATATGGAATTTTGGACTGGAAAATGCAGCATGCAAGTAGAAAATGCCTTAAAAAAGTTGGAGATGTGACACCAGAAAACATAAGGAAGGTCAAAGTTTTGATCCCACAGGTACAGATTTACAACTTAAGGGTTTAAAGAGAGGATGAGCTCACTAAGGAAATGAATATAAAGAGGACAGGGATTTGGGAGTCCTTAAAAGGAGTCCACACTCAACATGCAGGAAGAAAGAAAAAAGCCAATAAAAGTGACAGAGATGTGACTGAAGCGGTCAGAGACCAGGAGAGGAAGGTGGCACCAAAGCTATGGTAGTGTTGTTTCAATAAAAAGTGGGTCATCAAATGCTGGAAAGATTAAAAGAGAGTAGGGGCAAGAAGGAAACATACATATTTCCCTTACAAAGTAAAGAGGAAATAGCCGAATGTCCAATCGAAGAAGACCAAGTTTCTCAGTCTTGGCTGCTCATTGGAATGAGGGGAACTTTAAAGTTCCAAGCGAAACTTTAAAGTTCCAAGGGAAACTTTAAAAGCTGTTTGGAGCCTCATACTTGCAGATTCTGTTTTAACTGGGTATGCCCTGACCCAGGAGTTTTAAAAGTTCCCTATGGCAAATCTTCCCAAAATGTGGGCCCTGGTCCAGAGCACTAGTATCACCTGGGAACCTTTTCGAAATCCTCGATCCTACACCAAACCTACTGGACCAGCAGCTTTGGTTGTGCCCCATAATCAGAGATTCTGGGACATGCTGAAATTGGAGTCCACGTCCTAGGTGATTCTAAGTGTGGCCAAGGTTGAGTGAGAATCACTGCTATAGACAGGCTGTCGCTCGCAGACATATGATATGACTAATTCTTGAAAGGTGTCATTTCTGAGATAAGCTTATTTTCTTTAAGTACTAATCATAAATCAATGTACTTAAGTTAGAAAAATCCCAGAGAAAACAATATAACTGTAAAATCTTTATATTAATATAATGACCTAAAGAAAAAGTGGTTCATCAGTTCATCGAACTCCAATTCAGGTGGAGCACTGTACTAATAAAATTGTAATTCAACATTCAATTTGTAAAAATATCATATAGAATTCTCCACTTCATAATTTCAAAGAGAGACAATATATAGTACAGCAGTTATAGTAAAAGACAGGTTAGGCTCAAATCCCAGCTTCATTCTTTCCTAGTTTTATGACCCTGGACAAATCTCTTAACCTGAGACTTATTCTTTTATTTGTAAAGTGGAGATAAATGCCTACCTCATAGAATAGTAAAAACAAACACTCAGTTAATAGCAATAATTATACTAATCACCTATGACATGCATAGCGCACAGCAACCTAAACAACACCAAAGCACATTACATTGCAAACAACATAGATAAAGACAAATGAGATGTACAGATAACTCTGGGAAGTTTACCATCAGCAATGGCCACTGAGAGTTTACTCATTTGGGAAGACTTAGAAGAAAAGCACCACCTTAGACAATAGATGTGAATACTGAGAGGAGATGGAAAGCATAGAAAGGGCAGCATGGAGATGGTGATCATCACAGGACACTCCTGAGACGTTAAGCAGACAAAATTAGGACTAAATTAGGACTATCTGAAGGGTAGATTTTGTGCTGGACAAATGAATTAGATTCAGATTATAGAAAGTCTTGAGCAACAGGCTGAGTTTAGAATGAGGGTTTTTAAGCAATGGAATTTTAGAATAAAAAGATGCAATAAAAGGAAATGGGGGGGTCTGAGCACTGTCCCTTTTCTGCCACGTATCAGTAGCATAATTCAGTTATGTTTATCTGTTTCCACAGCTGTTAAATAAAAGTATTGATCTCCCTACAGCCCAAATCTAAAATTCTAAGACTCTAATAATTTTAAATATCACACTACCTAGGTACCTGGTAATGTTCGATAAATATTTGCAGACTGATTTGTTGCCAGTAAGAAAATTAAAGTGAGAAAAGTGAAAGACTCTTCAGCATTATCTATTGTTATTGCTCGAAAGAGGAAGTTATAAAAATGTAAATACTTACTCTTAATCGAGGACACTTGGATTTGGCCAGCACTCCCAGAAATATGTCAGGAGCATTAAATTCTTGGAGAAATAAAGCCACATCCTGAAAATAAAAATGATTATTGACTTGAATGTTGACGATACCTCTTTAAACCCCACAGCATAGGTAACCATAAAAAATTAATTCCATATATAACTCCTTTCAGGCACAAGGGAAAAAAGTTAGGAATTGAGTCAGTAGACAAAAGTAATGTTAGAAAATCCTTGTGGTATCTGGTCCCAAAGTAATGGAACAAATTCATAAACAAAGTTAAACTAATTGATATTCCAGAGTGTTGTCCTCTTTTTTCTGCCCTTGATGTATTTATATTAATGATCTTTCTACCCACCAGGAATTCTCACTGATTCGTTCAAACACACCTGCTGATTGCCAGAAGCTGGGGACAGGGAAAAAGTGAAACTCAGAATTCCGGTCTTCTAAGACCTTAAAACACAATAGGAGAAACAGGTGAAAACTCCTATTGGATCATGTCCCAAATCAAAACCTGTGCTTTCAAAATCCTCAATAGAAAAAAGTCTGATCTCAGTGTAACTGCAACATCTTCATACCTCCTTCCTAAAGAATTTGCCCAGTCCACAGCTCCTAAAGGGACACACCAACACAGGTGAAGGAACCAAAGTGAACATGTGACCCAATCTTGTTAGAAATGTGGGCCCCAAAACTAAATCCGTTAACCGTGGAGATCTGTGTTGTAAAATATTTAAAAGCTAAGTTTCTGGCTGTCTATTGCCTTGGATTTTTACCAAACATGAGTTGTTTATTTGAAATAGCTTAACTTAAAACACAGGCTACATGACTTATGTAAAAATGCACTTCGAAGGGCCCTAGAGGCACCTCAAAGCAGCTGAAACCTAGATAATCTGCATGACTGCTAACTGGGAGAGACATCTTATACTTATGAGACCATGATCAGAGAAAATAGTATTTTCAAAGATACACACAAACTGAAAGTCGCAGCAGTGGATGCTCTCAACTCTAGATAATCAAACTATTTGTCATGTTAGCAACTCTTGGTAGCATGCTGTGATAAACTTATTCAATGACAGTTAATAATTCCTGGAGTAGCACAGGGTGGGCTAACAATATCAACACCAACAATAATGATGGCAATTAACAGTTATTGAACAAGCATTAAATGCCAGGCACAGTGAAGCAGTTTGCACATTACCTCATTTAATTCTCAAAACAACCCTATGAAGTAGTCATCATTATTAGTCCCATTATACTAATAAACTGAGGTTTCAAAAAGTTAAGCAACCTGCGCAAGATTACATAATCAATCGGAGAACAGAGCCAGGATTTGAACTCAGATGAGTATGACTTAAGGTCATGCTCTTAAGAGGCACATCGGGTATTCCTTCTTCACCAAATATTTACTGAAAAACCCAAGTAATAGGCACTGTTTTAGGCTCACAATAGAGAACAAGGTAAGTAAAATCTCAGTCCTACAGAGTTTTCATTCTAGAAGAATGAACAATGAACACATAAACAATGAAACTACATAATTTCTAGGTGCCACAAAGAAGATAAACAAGATAGTGTGTGCTAGAAGCTAAGAAATGGGGACAGAGGTTACTTTAGATATATCAGAGAAAGTATCTCTGAAGACATGACATTACGCTCTTAAGAGAAGGAACTTAAATCTGTGAGACGACACAGGCTCAAACCAATTACTGAATAACAAGTGTTAAGCAATAAGGTGAACAGATTCTGCCTAGAGTATCTGGGGAGGCATCAGAGAGGAGATGACATTTAAGCTGGACCATAAAAGATGAGAAAGATTTTGCCTACTAGAGGCCATTAAAGGCAGCAAGGGGCATGAATAGAGCACGAATATGTGAAAATATATAGGAAGTACCTGGAAGTCTCTGCTCAAACACTGAGTGGTAGGGAATAAGGCTGAGATGTAGTTTCATTGGAGAAACTTTATGCCAGTGATCAATGGACAGCTTGGTTCTCTAGACGTGCTTCAAGAGCTACCATTAAGAGGACGAAGAGGAGGCCAAGAACCTGACTCTCCCCTCTACCAACAATCTCATTCAACCAGCAGCTCTGTTTTATCTATTTTATATTTGAGGATTTGACATATAGGTTTCATTTGAAAAATAGGTTCTATTTCCTTTAAAAAAAAATTTTTTTAACCATAACTTCAAATAATTGTAGGATAAGCAGAGAAGAGACTTGAAGAATACTCTCAACTCGATCTAATTAACATCTATTCGACACTCCGCCAAGAAGCTGCAAAATACACATTCTTTTTAAGTGAACATGGAACCTTTACCAAGACAGACCAAATTCTGGGCCATAAAACAAGTCCCAATACATTTAAAAGGCTTCAGAGTGTTCACTGACTGCAGTAACTGAAAGATACCTGAAAAATTCCCAAATATTTAAAAAATAAATAATGCACTGTTAAATTACTCATTAACCATAAGGAAAATTAGAAAATATTCTGAACTAAACCAAAATGAAACAATATATCAGAAATTGTGGGGTGCCGCTAAAGCAATATTTAGAGGAAAAATTATAGTGTAAGATGCTATATTAAAAAAGAAAAATGGTTTCAAAGCAACGAACTCAGCTTCCATCCTAAGAAATCAGAAAAAGAGCAAATTAAACCAGAGTAAGCAGAAAAAAGAAAACAATAAAGATCAAAATGAAAATCGATGAAACAAAACACAGTAAGGCAACAGAGAAAAATCAATAAAACCAAAGGCTGATTCTTTGTGAAGATCAATAAAATTGTTAAACTTCTAGCCAACCTGATCGGGGAAAAAAAACAGAAGACACAAATTATCAGGAATAAGAGAGGTACCATCAATACAAAGTGTAATACTATGAACAACTTTATTCCAATAAATTTGACAACTTACATGAAATGGATAAATTCCCTGAAGAACACACACTACCAAAGTAATCTGAATAGCCCTATATCTACTAAAGGAACTGAATTTATAGCCTAAAATTTATACACCAAAAACCACTAAATGGTGAATTTTATGATAGTGAGATCTATCTCAATAAAACTTATTTTTTAAAAAAGTAATACACAAAACTAAACACAAACAAAAAAATCTTCCCGCAACATAAATTCCAAGCTCAGATGACTTCCCTGGTGAATTCCATCAAATATTTAAGGAACAAATAATATCAGTTCTATACAAACTCTTCCTGAAAACTGAAGAGGAAAACTTCCCAATCTGTGAGGATATAATTACCTTGGTACCAACGCCAGACAACAAGAAAATGAATACCTTTCATAGAAAGAAAGAAAATTTCTAAATAAGATTTTAGCAACTTGAAAATCAGTCAACTTAGTTCACCATATTAACAAACTAGAAAGAAAACCACACGATCATTTCGACGTACTCAGCAAAAGCATGGTAAAATCCCAAATCCATTCCTGATAAAAACCAGGAACAGAGGGGAACATTCTCAGTCTGCAGCTGCATCATACTTAATGAAGGAAGACTGAATGCTCTCTGCCCCTACAATCGAAAACAAGATGAGGACATCCCCTCTCATCGCTTCTAGTCAACATCATACTACAAGTTCTGGTGGGAGCAAATGTACAAAAAAACCCAAATAACAGAAATTCAGATTGGAAAAAAGTAAACTTTTTACTTCATAAATAAGAATCATTTATGTAGAAAATCTAATGGCATCTACAAAAAAGGTATTAGAACTTAAGTAAATTTAGCACAGCTGCAGAATATGATATACAAAATCAACTACATTTCTACATACTAGAAATGATCATCATATATTAATTTTTTTTAACTTACAATTTACCATCTACAATAGCATTTAAAAATATGGAACACTCAGAAATAAATCTGACAAAAGATGTAAAAGACCTATTCACTAAAACCCATAAATGGAAAGATATAACTTGTTCATGGGTCAAAAGACTCATTATTGTTAACTTATCAATTCTTTCCCAAATGATCTATGAATTCAACTCAATCTCAGTCAAAATCCTAGCAGGATCTTTGTAGAAATCGACATGTTGATTCTAAGATTAATATGGAAATACAAAGGACCAACGACAACCAAAACTATGAGAAAGAACAAATTTGGAGGAGTATCTCTACCTGATTTCAAGACTTATTATAAAGCTACAGTCATCAAAACAGTGTGGTACTGGTGTAAAAATAGACAAATAGATCAATGGAACAGAATAAGAGTCCAAAAATAGACTCACGTGTACATGCACAGACACTAACTTTTGACAAAAACTCAAAAGGCAATTCAGTGGAGATAGTCTTTTTCAACAAATAAGTTATAACTGGATATCCACATGCAAAAAAAGTAACTTCAATCCATACCTTGCATCATACTCAAAAATTAACTCAAAATGGATCATAGACCTATAAGTGAAACCTGAAATTACAAAACCTTTAAGGGAAAAAAAATAAAACACGATTTAAAAAATGGGCAAAAGCTTCAAACTGGCATTGTACCAAAAAAATAATAGATTTCAAATAAGCACATGAAAATATGCTTGACATTATTAATAATCAGGGAAATCCAAATGACAATCATAATGTGAATCACCACAAACTTATAGAAATGGCTGAAAAGAAGACTGACCATACCAAGTGCGAGGATAATGAGGATGAGGAGACACTGGAACTGTATCTCATACGTCACTTGTGGTAATGTAAAATGTAAAAATCACTTTGGAAAACAATTTAACTATTTCTTACGAAGTTAAACATATACCTACCATATGATCCAGCCATACTATTCTAGGTATCTACCTAAGAGAAAGGAAAACATATGTCCATACATACTTATACATAAAAGTTCACAGCAGCTTTATCTGTAATAGACTAGAAACAACTCAATTTCCACCAACAGGTACATAGATGAATAAATCATGTTATACAAATATAATGGAACACCACTTGGCAATAAAAAATAAACTACTAATATACACAACGACATGGATGAATCTTAAAATAATGTTGCTGAGTAAAAGAGCCAGACCCCTCCATAAAAGAATATGGTCTAATTTCTATAAAACTCTCGAAAAATACAAACTACTCTGAAGTGACTGAAAACTAATCAATGGTTGCCTGGACAGGATTGAGGAAGGGAGGGGCATGAAGAAACTTTTTAGTGTGATAATGTTCACTATCTTCATTGCGATGGTTCCATGTGCATATACTACATTGAATTTTTTAAATCGTACCTTTGAACATATGCAGTTTTTGTACATCAATCGTGCCTCAGTACATTTGGAGTATATTTTGTGCCAATTATACCTCAATAAAGCTTTCAAAAAAGACAATGAATAGCCGTTAAAAAATTTTAAGACAGAAAAATACAATTTAATCTGTGTTTTAGGAAAAAGATAACTTGGGTGGCAATGTGTAAGGCAGAAAAGAAGTGAAAGAGATTAAAACACGGATTTTAATCAGTTATCTATTTCAAAAGTCCAAGTAATAAAGTGAGAGTCTACGTAAATCAATCTCTTCAGCCAATTTTCTTAACTGTAAAATAAGGGTACTACTTATATTAATTATAAGGTTATTGTGAAGAGCAAATGGAATATGAAAATGCTTTCGAGCTATAGAGTACAATATAAATGTTATATTATTATTATTATTATTATAATTACATACATGTAATTCTTTCTTGTCCCCTTCTAACTTAATTATGGTACATCCATGGTCTCCTAACTCTTATCCCACTCTCAAATACAACACCAACATTCTCTTTGGGTAAATACGTATCCTGGGCTACAAACAATCTAGCATTCATGAGAACTATATATGTAACCCAAATCCTATCACAGCTCAGATTATCTACCCTCAAAAACAGAAGTGTAGCATTTATAGCTCCTGCCACCTCAGTCTCTGTACCATATATAGGAGTGATTACAGACACTAAAGTCTTTCCTCAGAGATTTAAGGACCGAACCTTAAAAAACAAAATCTATTTACCACCTCCTTATCCAACAATCTTTTCAGTTTCATTTGCAACCCCATACCTCATCCATTGACATATCCCATACTCTGCAAATTTCATTCTCCATTTCTTCATCAAGCTCCACCTGCTGCTCCTCATCATCTGAGCTGGATTTGGTGTTTTCAGGGCTAACAATCTTCAGAAACACAAAGGAAGAAAAGAGATGAATAAAAGTTGTTCATAGTACTCCTCGAGAAATACTACCCCACAATCATTTAGAAGTCACAAAACTACTACCCTCAAAGTGTGTTCTCTTGCAAAAAACTTTAAAAAATTTAGTATCTTGGGTAAATCTATTCATTCGACATTCACAGAGTAAATACTGTTGCTAAGCACTGGGGTAGAAATACAAAAATGAGTAAGATTTAATCCCTCGCTTTCAAGCAGTTTAGTATCGAGTAGGGGGAAAGACATGTAAACTGTAATCACAACGGAAAATGCTAAGTGATTCAAGTGAATTGTGGACAGTTGTGAGAGCAAAAATGATGGACCAATGACCCTGGAGAAGACGGAGAAAACTTCTTAGGTGATATGTAAGCTAAATCTCTAAGAAAGAGTTTGTCAAGAAGGGTAGAATTGCGTAGAGAAAAGTACTGGAGTTTGGGGAATGGAGATCAGTTTAGCGTCATGGGCAGACGAGACTGGAAAGACAGCAAAGAGCCTTGGATTCCGAGCTAAGAAATATGCATATGGAAATTATAAGAAGTTCCTATAGCTTGCTTCCTTGGCTTGTTTGTTGATCGATTGAAGATTTTTTTTGTAGAAGATAGACTGTAAAGAACTGGAAGTAGTAAATTAGTTAGGGAAACGTGGAAACAAGAAAAGTTCACATTTATTGAGAGCCTCCTTTAAGCCAAACACTGGTAAGCTCTCTATGACCATTATCTTATTTAACCTACACAATAACCGTATATAGAATAATATAGGTATTACCATCCCACTGTACAGAAATTGAGAGAGAAATTGAGGTTCTGAGAGATTAAGAGACTTGCCCAAAGTCACGCGGCTCGTCTACAACAAAAGTCCGCGATATACATCAATTAGGACTTAGGTGTCAGGAACGGGGTCACATACTTTTGGAAATTTTTCAAAAGTAAAATATTTTAATCGCAAGCACTTCAGCACCCCTGCCATTATACGTGCTGAGGGGCACCAGGAGCGACTCCCGCAGTTCTGGGGTCCGCAGAGGCGGCCAAGAAGTAAGGCAAGAGGCCCGGCCGCCCGCGCCTGCAGAGGGGTTGTCGTGGAGATGGCGGCTCCCGGGCAGGAGGGGCTGCCAGAGGCGGGGCCGGGGGTCGAGGGAAAGGGAGTCGGGACTCAGGCGAAGTGCGACTTTCCATACCTGAATAAGCCCGCTGAGGACGCCAAAGAGCCAGTGCTTGCTGTAGACCGTGCTCCCTATGCAGTCTCCGCCGGCCACCACCTCCTCGTCCTGGTCCCGACTCGGCGGCGGAGGCGAAGGATTGCGGTCCATGATGTGCGACCACCAGCAGGATACAGCAGCGCCGGAAGCCGCCCAAGGAGGCGAGAGACCAGAGTGCCCGGCGCGCCCGCTGTGGCTCCCGCCACAGCGCCCCCTGCTGTCCGGAGCCCTGCCGGCCTGAGCGCCGGCCGAATAAACCTCAGGCTTGGGAGCCCAGATGACTTGATCACCCCGACGGCACTCTACCCGGAATCCAAGCGCGATCATATTTATAACTGTTATTTGTCACCCTCAGTGGACTGGGTATTCCATCTACCCACATACTCTGTGCTGGGCTGTACAGGACACGTTTATTTTGCCATATGACCTCGGCTTCTGCATCTGAGAGTAACCACAGTAGGCAGTAAGAACATACCCAGAGGCCATTTCTACTCCAGGATGGCGATCGATAATTTAATTATACTAGGAAGTGACTGCAAACTACATAAATATGTCCCAACGAATGAAAACCAACTGTATTCCTAACTCAACTTCTCCTCCGTCAAATCCCTGAAATGCCAGTGCCACTCAACATGAGGAAATGTGATGGCACGATGTTGGAGTGAACAGTGTCAGAGACGTTAACTTCCTGAAGTTAAAATATTTTATTTTTGTAAATTTTACAAAGACATTTGACCATGTGAACACATTTTTAGAGTTACTCCTAGGCCTTGGAACGGCCCCATGTAAGTGGGGAGCCCTTGAAGCTTAAGCTTCGTCGGCTTCACAGTAAATCTGACTCTGCCTACATGCGTGCCTGATAAGACATTACAAAGGTCATGCAGGAGGAAGTGAGAGAGGAAATGAGGCATCTGAAAAATGCAAAGAAAACAGCTTGCAGAAATGACCAACTCAGCCAGTTAAAGCCCATTCCTGACTGCCCTCTCTCCCTCCTTCCAGGACTCTCCAGCTAACATGTTTTCCCATAGCTCCCCCTGCACACCTCCAGGACTCTCCAGCACACATCTGTTGATTCATAGCTTGCTATCCAACTACTGTTCTTCCTCATCTCTGTAGCTGTGTCGGAATAACAAGACTGTATAAAATCGTTTGCTATGTTACAGTCCAGGCTCAGCCTTTGGATAGGAATCCACTGAGCAGATGCTGGCATTAATAAGTGTTGCTTCCTACTTATAGCCTCAATGTCCCGTCTCTCTGTTCAAGAATCCTATAAGAGTGCTGATAACGCCAAGGTTGCAGGACAAACAAACTATAAGACCAGTGGTCTGAAATTCCTCCCCCTTTGCAGTCCCTAACCCGAAGCTCCCCCTCCCATCCTGAGTCACAAGGCACATGTGAAACCTCAAATGAGGAATCACACACCACTTACATTAACACCGCAAAGGTATATAAACTGTAATAAATCTAATCAAAGCAAACTCGTGATTTGGGTCTGTTGAATGCCCCCACGCTTTTCGCTGGCGATAAATTCTCCTTCTTCTAACAAAGTTGTCTGAGCATCCAAATTCCTCCATCGGGTGTCGCTTCCTGCAACAGCAGGATGATTCTTTGTTTGCAGCACAGTCCCGTAAATTGTAAGATGCATGTATCTCTGGCCCGACCACTAAATGCTTCCATCATTGTGCCAACCAAAAATATCCCCAGAGGTATCCAAAAGCTGGGGTGGGGTGGGGCTCGGTGCAATGTTGTCCTCGTTGAGAACTAGGATCTAGATCTCTCTCTGTCCCTGGTACTAACAAGCTTCAGGAAGAACTGTGCTCTCTCCATTCTCTAAAGAGATGGCTACTTGCCTCCTATTACATAATAATGTCATCTCCTCCAAAGTGCTGTTTGCTTTTTCTGAATGCTTTATTACCTCTGCCCCATCTAGATTTATGCCCATAGACTTGCTGTGAGGATCAACTGGGGTGATAGATGGAATACATTCACTGAAGGAATGAATAACTGAAATAACACATGCAAAAGTGATTTATAAGCTCTAAACGTCAATATGCATGCAAGTTATAGCAAATAGTTAAGATTGGTGGTTCTAGCATCAATGTGACTCGAACATATATTTTAACTGTTTGTGCCTCAAGTTTCCTCAGCTATAAAATAAGGAAAATCAAAGTGCGAGGATCCCATGGGCTACAGAAGAACACTTAGAGCAATATCTGGCCCATAGTTAACTCGCTGAATATTAACTGGCATTATGATAATCATCCTACTATTAACTAGTGTTAGAAGAGCTTAAAAATCAACCAGCAGGAGGACTGGCATATAAACCACTGTGACAAGGATGGATACAGATTTTCAAGAAGGCATGAACGAAGTGCTATGGAGGCATTCACGGTTGAAGTTAAAGGTTTAGGGGCTGTTAGATATGGGGCTTTGAGGCCTGGATGCAGAAAGGCCTGGTAATGGCAGCAGTGTAACCAAAGGGGCCTGGAGAGGAGCAGATCTGACTGGGGGAAGCGTTGGTGCAGGCTATCTGTATGACATTGAGATTGTCTCCCCTACTACACCCAAACACACAAGCACAGGCTCAGCCTTCACACAGGTGTCCATCCATCACCCCTTGGTACCAAATGGACAGTCCTTATACCAAAGAATAACACACGATTTTTAACATTCCATTGCTTAAGCATTTATTAGACAGCTATTATATGTCCTCTATCAGCATCTGGGGATATACAACTCAATGACTCTGGGCTCGCAGCCCCATCTCCTGAGAGCAGAGTGAGGAGGAAGCTCAGTACTTTTTGGGCAGGCCAGCAGGTCTGAAATGATTGGGGTCTTTGCCACTCCGGCCCCATCTGTTGGCAGCCTGGTCAGCTCTTGAGTCCGCTGCTCCGTGACCACTGAGTCTCTGAATACCCTCTCTGGCATCACTGAAATGGAGGAGGGCAGGTAGGAGATGGACTAGGGCTGATGAGCGACAACACCACTCTCCCATCTCTCACCTTTCTAAGGGATTAATGACTCTGAGAGGAGCCAGGAGGGAGGCACTAAAACCCTGACCCTGCATGGGCACAGCTCACTTAGCCCGGGGTGACCCTCTCACTCTGGGAGAACAGCATTCATAGGGGAAGGCGGAAATCATCCTTACCACCAGCATCTCTCTGGCTCTCAAACCCCACACTGGGCACAGAGGGGCAGGGTGCTCAGGAGGAGGGGGTACCACAATCTCTATAGGAAATTTCAGTCCAAGGCAGCCCAGCTCTGCTCCCTCATCCCTGCATCCCCAGGACCGGTGGTTACCTGATCACTCTGGCAGCCCAGGCGCCCCCAGGTCCCCTTCGTGCAGCGTCATAGTTTCCCCGGGCGTGGAAGTATTTGTCTGCACCCTTGTAATTGGCTTCTCTCATGTCAGAGTAGGCTCTCCACATGTCTTTAGCCCCTGGAAGGGAAGGAATATGTGAGATGAAAGTAATGACATACTGGCAAAATAGAGAAATAGAAAAGGTACCTCCTACTGATTCCAAGATTTCAGTCATCAAAAGCCCTTGGAGATTATATGGTCATGAAATAAATATTTCTTTACTTTTCACTTCCTTAAGTTAATGTTATAAAAATCACACTTTATGAAAATGTTATTCTGTTTGATTCCATTCTAAGTTCTGTCGCTGCTTTGTTTTTGGCTGTACTGCAGAGGTGGGGTGGTGTCTAAGGGGTGTTTGGTTGTACAATGAACCTCCATCTGGAAAGATGCAGGAAACCCCAGACTGTGGCAGGAGAACAAAGCCGATTCTGAGTGAGGCACAGGCGCGTGGGGCTCCCGCCTCGTCAATGGGAGACATTCATCCCTGTGGGCAAAGGAAGGACAGCTTGTCCTGTCTACGTCTGAATGTCCGGGCCCATTTGGCACCTGGGCAGCTGTCAGAGTTCACTCAGCAGGTGACAAAGGTGAGTTTCCTAAGAGAGCTTTAAAGAAACGGGTAATAGGTGCAGAACAAGGGCAACCGACCTACCAGCTCTAAAGTTCAGCGTCCTCCCAATAAAATGGAAGAGTGGTTCTCTACGTTTAATGTGCACAAAAATCAATGGGGTGTTTGATAAAGCCTAGATTTTAGGCTCAGCCCCATAAATTGTGATTCAGTGCACTGCATTTCACAAAGCACTCCAGACCTCTATGATGATTCTCATATCAGTGGTCTTAGAACAACCCTTTGAAAAACATTGATCTAGGAGATGAAAAATATTTCTTAGCTGGGGCTATGAGAATTTAGATAGGATTAACAGCAAACTCTTAAAACAATTACTCAGAGACTGTCACAGAAAAAAATGCAAAATAATTCTGTGAAATAAATATTTGCCACTTTACTATGGCTAGTGAGGCACGTACCTCTTGCTAGAGGTCCAGCCCAGGTCCAGCCCAATCAGAACCATCATCAGATAATTCATTGTGCCTTTTATTGTAGAGAGAGGCTCTCTATAGAGTTGCCTTTCAAAGGCACCACATCCCCACTATTAGCCATTTGCTCAGATAAAGAACTGAATATGTGTTCACATATCCCTCACACTCCCATGTGCACTCTTGTCTGGGAGACGGTCTAGTACCATGATTAATAGCAAGGTCTGGGGAATCTCATAACCTGGATTAAGTCCTGCTCTGCTTGAGGACTACGTTAGGTACCTTGATCTCTTTGTGCCTCAGTTTCTCTATTAAGAGATGGTGGTATCTCTAGCACAGGACTAGAAGATTAAAACATAAAAATGAAAACATTTATTTGTACGCGTAAAACACTTAGAACAGTGCCTAGCACATACTGAAGGCTCAGTTAATCTTGGTCGTAATTACTAAGTGGATGGGGAATGTGAACACGCTTTACATGTTTGATGCATGGCTGAGATACAGAAATGAGCTGTCCCTGATTGTCAGTACAGGGCGGTAGAACAGGACTTGTATTTAGGGAACAGGCACCTCTGAACTCCAGATCTCTTC